TATTGAGGTATAAGTTACATATGGTAACATTCACCATTTTTAGGTGTCCACTTCTATGAGTTTTGACAAATAGATACACCATAATCAAGATACGTAACGTTTCTGTCATCCCCAAAAGTTCCCTCTTTCTGCCTCAGTTTTCACAGCTGTATTGTATTCCATTATATGGATATACCTTGATTTCATAAATAACCCCTCATTGATTCATATTTAGGTTGTTTCTGGTCTTGCAATTCATACAAGGTGCAAGAAATACCTTTTTCCATAAGTCTTGGTGTGCTTTTACAGTCACAGACATAGGGTAAATTCCCAGCAGAGGAATTACAGAATTAAAGGCTGTGAGTGTTTAACATTTTGTTAGACGTGGCCAAATGGCACCCCCCAAAAGTTGTACTAATTTACCTTTATAGATGAGAGTGCCTGTTATTCTCTTACTAACACTGTGTGTCACTAGATTTAACTTTTGCTAATTTGATAGAAAATATTAACCTAGCAAAGTAACTTGCAGTCAGTGTCTTTTTTACTTCTCGTTTAAAAAACATATCAACAAGTTCACACACATAAAAAATCTAATGCATGTTATTTATGGTTAAAACCACAATATAACATTAGAGGAAATGTGAATAGGAAAACTTTACCTTTGTTCCACTCTCCCAATATAATTTTCATTTCCTCTTTATCCATATCTACATTTTTGTAATTATACATGCACATTTTATAATCATTCTCATAGCATATATACAGTTTGTGTATGCATTATTTTGCTTGCCATTTATTTATTTATTTTGCTGAGGAAGATTTACCCTCAGCTAACATCTGTGCCAATCTTCCTCTATTTTTTAGTGTGTGGGCTGCCAGCACAGCATGGCCGCTAACAGAGTGGTGTAGGTCTGTGCCCATGAACTGAACCTGGGCTGCTGAAGCAGAGCACACTAAACTTAAACACTAGGCCATTGGGGCTGGCCCCTTTGTTTTCATTTTAAAGGTTCACTTTGTTTCATGAGCATTTTTCTTCGTTTCCAGAATCTTCATTTTAGATAGTTGTGTGTTTCTTCTGTTTTTTGGCTGTGGCGAAGTTCATTTAATCATTCAGCTTCTAGAATGTATTTACACTTTTTCACTATTATGAACACCATTTTTTAAATGTAAAAGTTAAAAAAAATCTTTCACTTTCTTAGAATAAATTTTTATTATCTGGTTCTCCTGGGTCTAAATGTATCTACATTGACATAAGAATGTAGAATTTTATAATTTGAAATAGTTTTTGTGGGGCCAGCCTAGTGGCGTAGTGGTTAAGTTGTCATGCTCTGCTTCAGCGGCCAGAGGCTTGCCAGTTTGGATCCTGGGTGCAGACCTACACACTACTCATCAGGCCATGCTGTGGCAGCATCCCACATAGAAGAACTAGAAGGACTTACAACTAGGATACACAACTATGTGATCAGGCTTTGGGGAGAGGAAAAAAAAAGAAAGTAAGGTTGGCAACAAATGTTAGCTCAGGGCCAGTCTTCCTCACACACACCAAAATATACCCAAACCATGTAAATTAAAAAAAAAAAAACCACAGATAGTTCTTATTACTTCATTGGGAATCTAGGAACTCTTTTTTTCCCTGAAGAAGGAAGCAGTTGCATATCAATTTACTTCTGTCAGCTTAATCTATTTATTTTTCCTCTTTTTCATTTGCAAAAAATTATAGAAATGATATATGCTACTTGTAATGATTTCATACCCACTTTCCAGAGGTAATCAATTCACTGTTGAGTAAATTAAATTTTTTTAATTGAATGTTTTCTCAGTAAATCATTCCCACGTTTCAGTGTTTACAAACAACCAAACCATATACAGTGAAGTTTCCTTACCCTTGTTCCCCTGCTACCCAGTTCCCCTTCTTGGAGGCAGTTATCATATTTTGGCGTATTGTTTCAGACACATTTTATGCATTTTTAAAATTTTGTTGTTGTTGAGGAAGATTCACCCTCAACTAACATCTGTGCCAGTCTTCCTCTATTTTGTGTGTGGGTCACCACCACAGCATGGCTGCTGACCAGTGGTGTAGGTCTGCGCCTGGGAACTGAACCCAGGCTGCCGAAGTGGACTGCGCCAAGCTTAACCACTAGGCCATGGGACCAGCCCCTCATTTTATGCATTTTTCAGCAAATGTATGTATGTGCTCTGTATATGTGTGTGTATGTGTCTCTTTTTAAGCCACAAATGTTCTCATGTGGCATAGTTTTTTGCACATATTTTCTTAGATTATTTTATTTATTTGTATTTAATTTTTTAAAAGTATATAATACAAGTAAATGTTGTAAAGGCTTGGATGGTCCCCTCCTCTCACAGTTTGCTGTGTGCTCTGTGCCATCCTTCAGTGAGTCTTTATGCACATAGAAGCAGACCGGATGGCACATATTTTTGTTTTCTTTTCCTCCTGTGACTCTTAGACTGACTTTTTCACATCTATCAAAGCAGTATAGAAATAGGCATTAAGAGCACTGGCTCAGGGGCCAGCTCCTTGCATTCAGATGTCTGCTCTGCCATATTTCAACTGTGATTGTGGGCAAGCTATTTAACCTGGCTGTGCTTTGTAATCTTCATATGTAAAGTGAAGAGTCAGTGTACATACTTTGCTTCGAATATTACCATACATAAGAAGTGTGTGTGTTTACTCATGGTATTATTTTTATCATTAAGGACAGTGACCAATAAAATAATATCCAAGAATCAGTACCCATCAGTTTGATTTATGTTAGTGACTTATATGGCTACGGGTAAATTCATTTAACAGAAAAGGGTGGATGGGATTCCTCACTTTCTTGAATTCTACTTAAATACATTTTAGAAAACTTTAGAAAACAAAATTAAAGCAGCTAAAATATATTTTGTTGTTCCTTTGGTTTTGCTTATACTTCTTTAAACTAAACAGATCTACTTTATGTAATAAAACTGTCCCAGAGAAGGTGAAGGTAGAGATGGTTGCTGAGAACGTGCACTTTTTTGCTTAGTGCATCATGTCTTAAAAGTGCATTCTCACGCATTTTCCACTCAAATTTGGTTAAAATACATACATAACTATACATAATATTTAATTTTAGGTGATAGTGGCCCATAAAGTTTTAAATTCCCTGGTCATGTCTTTTTAGGATCAAATCATTAATAACGTTAAAAGTTCTTAAGGCGAGCAAGGGACTGGGGGACTGAGTTGTATTTCTATTCAGTTTTTCTATTCTCAGTTCTTTTTTTTTTTTAATAAAAAATCAAAGCAACAACAAAACCTCCCTTCCTCTTTCCCACCTTCACATCCCAGTTACAAAATATTGTCTGTTCATTGTAGAGAATATAAAAACAGAAAACTCACAGAGAAATGAGTCACCTTTGTACCACCACTCAGCTTAACGTTATGTCTGTTAACAGTTTGGTGTCTAGACTTTTTGCCTGTCTTCCATATACAGATGTGCACACACTGTAACTCATGCTGTTAATTTGTTTGCCTTTTACAGTGATGGCATTAGGAATGCTGTACTGGTGTTTTTTTTTTAAGTAAACTTAGTATGAATATTCTAATTATGTTATTATCTATAGGATCATTTACAGTAGGTGCATCATATTCCCTTGAGCACATATACCATACTGTAATTTATTTTGTAATATATTTATTTCCTATTCAAGGACATTTAAAAGTAACTAAATCTGTAAACATTCTTGTAAACAAATTTTTTTGGAGATCCCTTTTTTCCTTCTGATAAATTCTGAGACATGGGATTGTTGGGTTGTAGGATATGCGCTTTTTTTTCATGCTTTTGATACACAGTGCCAAACTCTTCTCCAGATGGCTGGTATTTCCTTGCCAGCATGGAATATTGTCTTTCCATAAGTTCTTGCCTATTTGAGGTGGGCATTACTCCCCTTCTGAGTTGGTGCAAATTCACTTTTCAATGCCTCTAGAACCATCTCTTTTTTTGTACTTCCCTTTTTTCTTATTCTTCTATAGCCTTCCTCTTTCCCACTCCCAAATTCATAGAAGTTGGATTTGATCCAGGTTAGAGAAGGAGCTATTCCAAATGCTCTTTACCTCACTCCTCACTTGCTTTCTTAGTGCATTTGCTATAAAAAATACTCTTGAGGGTCTTTTTGTACAGCACTCAGTTTTTCAAAAATCATACTAATTTCTTTCAGTTTTATACATTCTGATTTTTGCTTTTGTGATTTTTAGTAACAGCTAATCTGTTACATTTGTGAAGTGACCTCATGCTTTAGCACAGTGGTTAAGAGAACTCTGTGGAATCCTGTAGACCAGGTTCAGATTCCAGCTCCTTCTTGTTGACTAGCTTTGGAATCTAGGCCATGTTATTTAACCCCTCCAGTCCTTCTATTTCTTTACTTGTAAAATGGAGATAATGACAATACTTTCCTCAGGCTTTTGTGAGGATTTAAAGAGGTGGTGCTTATAAGTGCTCAATACACTGCCTAACATATATAAGCTCTCAGCAGCATAGCTTTTATTATCAGAAAGATGGAATACATTTTTCCTAGTCACGTGTAGAAAGTGGTGATGTCTGAACCTGAATTTAGGACTTTTGATCTGTAGCCTTGTAAGGACTACTGCATAGTGGGAAAACTAAAGTGAGTGGCAGGAATTGTGCCTCGTGCTGAGGATAATCCAGGTACAGCGTGGAAAGTTTGTAAAGCTTTATATGTGGGGGCTTAAGATGTGTAGCTTCCAAAAAGCCTTGATTGGCCTTCCAGCAAGTAAGCGAAAAGATGGGCTTAGTTCCAAGAGAAGAGTAATGGCTCTTGTGCATCCTGGCATAGAAGGAGAGGTTGCTATATCCAAAAGTCTTCCAGATAAAAAGAGTAGAGTCTTTTTAAAAAGTTTAAGATGACTAAACACTAGGATCAAAATGTTGAGTAAGTTTCTCTGCTTTGGTTTGAATTAGAATGAGGTCCTGCTTTAAATGTGTATGACTGATTAGGTTTTTATCTTAACTTGTTTCCTACAGGGCATGGTGCTGATGTGAAATGTGTAGACTGGCATCCAACAAAAGGGTTAGTTGTTTCAGGAAGTAAAGATAGTCAACAGCCGATCAAGTTCTGGGATCCCAAGACTGGGCAGAGTCTTGCAACACTGTAAGTGATAGGAGCTCCACCTTGGTCCTAAACAAAGGGGAATAAAGTTGCCTGGATTCTTGAACTTTTAGCTTTCTCTCCTCTTCTGTATTCCTGAAAAAGTAGTGCAGACAACACATGGACATGTGTCTGTAGACTTCTTCTTAGTTAAATATGATTTCTTTCTAAATTCCTAATGAAATAAGGTTTGGTTTTTGTTCTCCCGCATATACTTAAATTGAATTTGGGTGTCACAGGGGTTGGGGGTCGGGGTGGGAAGGATGATGAGGAAGAGGTGGTTATTACTATTCTAGCTTACTGTCTCTCCTCATCATAACACATTTTGGCACTGTATGGAGTTGATATATGTACCAGTTATTAGATATAGCCTAACTTTCTGCATCTCCCTACATCTCTTTATAGAGAAGTTTTTCCTCAATTTTTGAATCAGTTCTTATTTTGTGTCTGAAGTGCTTATTTATGATGCAGCCACATAATAAAATTTTCTCTTTGAATTATCTGTAAACATTTATAGTTATGTGAATGTTAATTTTTTTTTCACCAAGCAGCTGTATCATGGTCCTTCTGATAGGCAAGTGAGCCATATCCAGAGTGAGCTGGTTGGAGCAAGGCTGCCTTGTTGCACAGCTCCAAAGGCCAAACCAAATAGCATGCCTTGGCTCATTATGATGTCTTTAGTTCAAATTAACCCTCAAGCTAGCCTGTGCCCTTTTTTATCATTTTTATGCTTCATCTTAATGAGAAGAGCTTCATTGAATTTTTTACATTTAATGAGCTTTATTGAGTATAACTGTATGTGTTCAAGTGCTTCCTCTGCCTTACAGATAAACTTTTCCTCCAGTTGAAGCTCTGCTGCTATTTTAACTGGTTAGTGAAAGCTACGCTTAGATAACGGGCATTATTTCTTTCAGTGACCTATTTCTTTCAACTGTACTTTTAAACTGTGGTCCCGTGATGTTACGTGCTTTATTGCTTCTAGGCCAAACCTCTTGCCATCTTGACCTATGTGCTTTCCAACGAAAATGGCCATATTGATTTATACTTGTTTTGAATTCTGACAGATTATTTTCTTGATACTTTATTCCTAGTCATGCCCATAAAAACACAGTAATGGAAGTGAAATTAAATCTCAATGGCAATTGGCTACTCACAGCATCACGTGACCATCTTTGTAAACTTTTCGATATACGAAACCTGAAAGAAGAGCTTCAAGTCTTCCGAGGTCATAAGAAAGAGGCCACAGGTCAGTGGCTTGATATGCTTCTTGTTCTCTTACGGGTAGTGTTCTGAGATAATAAGAATAATTTTGCGTTTCCCCATGTTTTTGTTTTTCAGCTGTGGCCTGGCATCCTGTTCATGAAGGACTTTTTGCCAGTGGGGGTTCTGATGGCTCTTTGTTATTCTGGCATGTTGGGTATGTAACACGTATTATGTAAAGAAGTTGTGTATTTTATGAAGAGAGCACCTGAAAGTGTAAAACATGATAAAGTTTTGTATTTTTTCTGAGTGTTCATATGTCCTGTATTAGAGACTTCCTGCAGTTTTCAATTTTATAAACCCAGCTTAGAACAGAGAACGTAGCGCCTCTAGTTTTGGATGTGGAATCCTTAAGGGAGAATAAAACAGATTTCCTTGGTTCTTGTTGATGAAATCATTCTTGAAGCATTTCCCCTCTGAAGTGCTCTTCGGGTAAAAGAATATATTACTGATGACAAATCAGTACCCCCGAAACATGTGTAATTGACCAGATCCAAAGTAACAGGCTTTGGTAGCTTTGTGTTACACTAAAAGAATATGTCTTTTTTTGTTTTGTTAACTTTTGTGAAAAAATGACTTCTGTCTGCGGTGCTATTACAGGGTAGAGAAGGAGGTGGGTGGAATGGAGATGGCCCATGAAGGAATGATCTGGAGTCTGGCTTGGCATCCTCTTGGACATATTCTCTGCTCAGGCTCAAATGACCACACTAGGTAAGATTTATATCAAAAGGAACAAGGAATTACTGTATTCATGGAGTAGCAGAAATAAATATGCATAATTTTTATTGATAGATTGATGTATTAATTTATTCCACCTTATGCTTAGGAGCTTTTTCGGGGGGGGACATTTTTGTAGTGGTTTGCAAATACATGTATTACGAGAAGGAGGTTGGGTACTGAATATGGCTTCATTATTTGAATTTTATTTTGTTTCTGATTAAAAAAAATCTTTCAACATTTAAAATTTTTAGAAGAAAGGCATTGTAAAACTTTGTTATGTTTACCAGGGGACTGCTTACTACGGTTGAGTGCCCAGATAAACACTGAAACCATGCTCCCACCGCCTCTAATTACTTTTACTTTGACAGCAAATTCTGGACCCGAAACCGACCAGGTGATAAAATGCGAGATCGATATAATCTAAACCTGTTACCTGGAATGTCTGAAGATGGAGTAGAATATGGTGAGGCTCTTGCACATTTATCCTTCTTTGAAATCTGATATTCTGTTGTAAAAATGTTAGGTATGAAGAAAATTATACGAAACTAATTTTAGTTTTATAGTTTATTGATTTATAAATCATCAGCAATATGTTTCATGTTTATAAAGTGTAAATTTTATTGGGCCACTACATTTGTAAAATCTATTGACAATGGATGTATTCCTATTTATAGATGACCTTGAACCTAATAGCCTTGCAGTAATTCCAGGGATGGGAATACCGGAACAACTAAAATTAGCTATGGAACAAGAGCAGATGGGTAAGAGAAGTTGTACCTATAAATTTTATTTTTATAAAACTTTCGTAGACCTGTTTCTTATCTTCATGGTATTAAATTATTTTGAAAATGCCAAAATGATTTATGTTGAGAAATGTTGATAAAAGTGATAGAAACTGCATAATGTTTAAAATCTTTTCTTCCAAAAATGTGTTCATTGATCAAGTAGCCAGTTTCTTTCGTTTCCTTGGTTAACTATTACTCTTTATGGTTACAGGGAAAGATGAATCAAATGAAATTGAAATGACAATTCCAGGTTTAGATTGGGGAATGGAGGAGGTGATGCAAAAGGATCAGAAAAAAGTACCTCAGAAGAAAGTTCCTTATGCAAAACCTATTCCTGCTCAGTTCCAGCAGGTGAGTAACTAAAAGCGGCCCCACTTCCTTATGCACCGGGACTTTGTGCTTGATGAGTCTAATTGAAGTTCACCAGTATGTTTCCCTTGGATTATATCATCAGTTGAAGGTATTTCTTTACGATAGACTCTTCTTGGAGTATTCTTCACATATTTCAGGCATTCTTAGACATAGTTCCTATCTAATGCTTTGCTGTTTGTCATGAATCTTCCCTAGATCTTCTTTAATTCTCACCTTTGTATTATCCAAGCCATCAAAAGAGGGAGGAAAAAGAGGCTTGGAGCAGGGAGAGTATGTTGACTCTCTTCTGTATTGTTTCTATCTTCTGCTTTATTTGTCCCCTCAATACAAAGTGCATATGCTCTTCTAAAGAGGCAGGCAAGCTTTGCATTCCTAATAACATGCAAGATCTTACAGTTTCTGTTGACTTGGTAATTTCTACCCAGTACTGTGCTTGCCTACCTCCACTCCTGTGTCACTAAGAGTTAGCATGAGAAATAAAGATGGTACACCAGGTGAGCCGACTTATATTCAGCAGGTTTGAATGAACCAATGACGTTATAGAATGGTTTTCTTATTCTGTCATTTTAGTTTACACACTTAAGGTATGTTTTAATATTCTCTTCTTTCCCAAGGCTTGGATGCAAAATAAAGTTCCAATTCCTGCCCCAAATGAGGTGCTGAATGACAGAAAAGAGGATATTAAATTGGAAGAGAAGAAAAAAACACAAGCAGAAATTGAACAAGAAATGGCTACATTACAGTATACTAACCCACAGCTTCTGGAGGTGTGTGAAGTTCTTTAGGGGGATTTGAGATGATGTCAGAACGTAGTGATAGCATTTTTTATTGATAATGATCTTAAGGAGGAAGGAAATGACTCTTAGATGGGTCTGATGAGCACCACTGTTTCTTAATGCAACGTGAGGAAGCTAGTTTCTAAAAGAATCCTGTTTCTTAGACTTTTAAAACCAGGTCAGTCAAGCAGTGAGTAGTCCTAAGTTAAATAGATATTTTTAATAGAAAAGACGAAGCCAACATAGTTTTAATTTGGATTCACTTATTTATCCACAGATAAAAGAATTTTTCGTTTTCTGTCAGTTCTAGAGCAGGTGGTTTGTTCCTATTTTTCTTACTTTTGACAGCTACCAAGAATAATAAAATACTGGAAAATTACTGAGCTTTCCCTGATCAAGATGAATATAAATAATCCTGACTGCTGTTTCCCAGTACCTAAAAAGCAGCAGTCCGGAGTGAGTCTGGAAGCCTGCGTGCTCTCAGCATATCTGAATGTTAAATGGACTCTAGTTACTATTAGGGTGTTAAGAGGTTTTAAGACTCCCCCAACAAAAAAAGTGATAGCAATATTCTCATCTTCAAAGGCTCTGACATATGTATTGGTATACTTTTTCTTTCTTTCCAGCAACTTAAAATTGAAAGACTTGCACAGAAACAGGCTGAGCAAATTCAGCCTCCTCCTTCATCTGGCACCCCTCTCCTCGGACCCCAGCCCTTTCCAGGACAAGGTCCAATGTCTCAGATTCCTCAAGGTTTTCAACAGCCCCATCCATCTCAGCAGATGCCAATGAACATGGCTCAAATGGGGCCTCCAGGTCCACAGGGACAGTTTAGACCCCCTGGACCCCAGGGTCAAATGGGACCACAAGGTCCTCCACTGCATCAGGGAGGTGGGGGGCCACAAGGATTCATGGGACCACAAGGGCCCCAGGGCCCACCCCAGGGGTTGCCGAGGCCTCAGGACTTGCATGGGCCCCAAGGATTGCAAAGGCATCCTGGACCTCATGGCCCTTTGGGACCTCAAGGACCACCAGGACCACAGGGTAATTCTGGTCCTCAAGGTCATATGGGTCCTCAGGGTCCACCTGGCCCACAAGGTCACATAGGCCCCCAAGGCCCACCTGGTCCCCAGGGTCACATGGGCCCTCAGGGGCCTCCTGGTACTCAAGGTATGCAGGGACCACCTGGTCCCAGAGGAATGCAAGGACCTCCTCATCCTCATGGGATACAAGGCGGGCCAGGGTCTCAAGGGATCCAAGGTCCTGTGTCTCAGGGACCTCTGATGGGATTGAATCCAAGAGGAATGCAGGGTCCTCCAGGCCCCCGAGAGAATCAGGGTCCTGCTCCCCAAGGGATGATGATGGGCCACCCGCCTCAAGAGATGAGAGGACCTCACCCTCCAAGTGGACTACTGGGACACGGCCCTCAGGAAATGAGAGGCATGCAGGGGCCTCCACCCCAAGGATCAATGCTGGGCCCTCCCCAGGAATTGCGAGGGCCTCCAGGCTCACAAGGTCAGCAGGGGCCGCCCCAGGGCTCTTTGGGACCTCCACCCCAGGGTGGCATGCAAGGGCCCCCTGGACCTCAGGGACAGCAGAACCCGGCAAGAGGGCCACATCCATCTCAAGGGCCAATATCATTCCAGCAGCAGAAAACAGCTCTGCTAGGTGATGGGCCCCGGGCCCCCTTCAATCAGGTATTATATATTTCCAACTTGTAGGCATTACAATACATTGGGAAAATACGCTCTGCACTGAGGCGGCACTTGCAAATACTGTGAAAAGCAGTCACAGCTGGTAGAAACGTCTCTCAAGTAGTGTTAGTGGCTTAAGAATAGCATCATGGCTAAAGAAGGAAATAAGAATAATTAAATAGACCATTAAACATGTCGCATTCTGAATCTTTACTTCTCAACCTACGTTTTTCTAATAGAGGTTCTTCCAGAAAAGATCGACTCAAAAGATTAATTGAATACAGTTCATAATTGTCCCAGGGCTCCAAAAGAGCCGTGGCCCTAAGGAAGAAGCATGCCGCACTACCTTTTCTGGGTCCTTACCTCGCAGTCTGGTCTTCCATGGGCCTGCCAGCGACTGAGCCACCTCCCATCTGCCTCCGGCCCCCTGTTTACGACAGTATGGGGCAGTTAACTCCCGAGTGTACTGTGGGCCATGATCTCAGTGTTTTCATTTCAGTGAGTGCTATCAGGGATCTCTGAGTCCAGACTGCAGGTTCTCAAATGGTGACCCTTTGGATGAAATTCTGTTCAAGTTCTTTCCAGCTCACATATAAAAATTTTTACAGGCAGCATTTCTGTAGAAATCATCTTGACTTTTTTTTGAGGATTCTGTTCCGGTCAGCCAAGTTTTACTACCCATTCGCTGACCTTATGCTTGAGAGGTGGTATGAGGAGAGTTCAGGTTGCTTGGGATGAATTACAAAATGACTACACAAGAATGAATGGATTTAGCACTGTTTGATGCTGTGGTTTTTATGTTTTTCTGAATTTCGTAGTTGGGAAGCATTATCTGGGTATGAACAACTGAGTTTGTGTCCCTGAAGTCAGTTAACGGACCAAAAGTGAGTCCATGAGTGAGCTAATAACGCTGACTCCTGGTCTTCGCGCACAGGTGCTCCTTCACTCAGAAGAGAGCCTGCTGCAGGTACTGTGCGCAGAAGACACAGTCGGTTTTGTTTTTTCAAACGTCTCTGAGGATCTGCATTGTGAAGATGACCATTGAATTTACTAGCTAAATACGTAGATTGTATATGAACTCTTCAGAAGACCTTCTAGAACTTAGAAATGTCACAGCATTGAAGAATGTGATGGAATTTGAGTTTATTTCCAGAATTTCTTGGGCACTTTTCGGAATTTAGGATGAGTTTCATAAGTCTCAGGTTTACCAAATGGGGTTTGCCATCCTGCATTGCCCTAAAACTTGAACTACTATGTATTTTATTAATACAGAGTGCATTTGTGTGTGTTTATAATATTTACTTACCTGACCTTATGGCAGTGAATTAATGGTTTTCATTTTGGAGGATAAAATCTTAATGAACTTATACGTAGCTATACCACATTATGATTGAAATTATAAACATGTCAGATTCAAGAAGACAGGCCTAAGTTTCTGGGACAATTCAGTAAGAGTTTTTATTGTATCATGTAGTAAAAGATTTTACATATGAATAGTGTACTGGCTCTAAAGATTTAATTGACCCATAGAAATATTGGTAGAATGAGTATGAAGGTTGGATACAATACAGGGCATTTCAATTCACAAAAGCTGCCTAATGAAGATATTTGCTGATATTTTTTATATGCTGAAAACTGACTTTCTTCATTTTGACCATGTTACTTAAACCAGTTGTTTTAATTGGTTTAATTTAGTGAAATTGCTTTCAGGTGTCAAAGTAGTAGCATGAAAGATGCTGATAAGAGCTGTCCTTGGGTAAAAGGGACAGGCAACAAAGAAGTGTAGAAATTACTGGTATTGAGTTAATGCTGGCCATTTATAACTGCAGTGCTAAACCTCCTCTCAAGGCTGCTCTTTCGTGTGGCTGGTTTGGAATGTGAAAGCAATTTTGCTATTGATGGTTTTGAAACTGCTGTTCTCATAGTAGGTCCAGTCACTAAATGCATTTTTTATATGAAGGAACGACTAGATAGATATTTGTTTATTTATTTATTTGTTTGTTTGTCAAGAGACCTGATGCAAGGTCATTGGATAGTGTGGGGGATTAGAATTTAGACATGCTAGATAAAAATTCAGAATATTAGGACTGGGGACAAGCTGGGGTTGAGCTCTGGGATTCTAGAGCAAGGCGATAAGAGGAACAGAGCAGCAGGTTTTATCAGACAGAAACTGCAAGAACCTAATGAATCCAACAGTCCCAGGTGACTTAGCTGGGAATGAGCAGTAGGGTGCTGAAGGCGGGACATTAGGAAGTAGACATAAGGGGAAGTGAAAGGAGAACGCCAGTGTGAACATCTTTCTCATCAGGACCTCCTTCCTTCTTCTCCCACTCCCGCCTTTTCATGCCGGCCCTAACCTCTTGAGACGATTGATTATTTTCTATAGCTGGGAAGGAGTCATGGATGCAAGAGCAGAGTTGGCCTATCCTGGCAGATTTCCAGGTCTTTACTTTTGCCACAAGTTCCTCCTCTGTGCAGAGTGTGTCACTATTGTCTTATGATCTCTGACTTTCCATTGAGGATCTTGCTTGGCATTGCAAGTAAAGATCTATATTTAAATAAAATCTGTTAGCAGGTTTAAACTATAACCGTTTCCTTTTGTTATGGTAAGAGGAGTATCGTCTTTCCCCCAGTTGAAGGACAATTTTGCTGTACTGTCACTAGCTATATATTTACTGCTGGAGGCTTTGGGGCAACCTAGTGTTTTTATCTTGTCACATTATAATAAAATTGCTATTCATGAAGCACAAGCCTATGATTTCACACCCCCGCTTTAAAAACGTCTTTTCAGGAAGGACAGAACGCAGGCCCCCCACCCCTGATACCAGGCCTAGGGCAGCAGGGAGCACAAGGTCGCATCCCCCCTCTTAACCCTGGACAAGGACCTGGCCCTAACAAAGGTAAATACTTGCTCGGCTGAATAAGAGATTGTATTCTTCCATCTTTGGATAAATCTTACACTAAAAGTTTTATTGGTAAGTAATTGATAGAACGGTCATTTGAACCTCTAGGAAAAATGAAGAGCACAGTCATTTCAGGTCATAGCTTTGTCTTATGTTGTTTTCATAGATTTGCTTTAGTTAGCCAAAAATGCTGCCCAGAGGAAATAAGCTCCTCACTACCAGAAGCTGGCGGTGGAATGACTTGGACGACCCCTAGCAGCAGGGCCTGGGCCTGGGCCGGCCTTGTCCATCTGTTGGGAATGGAAGTGGTTCCTGTGCTCAGTGAATGCAAGTGCATGTGTTTAGCACACCTGAGAGCTGAACTGTTTCAGTTTAAATTTTTTGATGGGATAAAGAATTCAGTGATTTTAAACGATATTTTTAATATCATCCCCATCTCCCCTCAAATTGTGTCATATATTGAATTCTTTAGCTGGGTACATTGTTCTGCATCATTTGAAAAGAAGAAGCACTGTACAGCTGTGTCAGTGTGTCATGCTCAGGTTGTTGATGTCCTGGAAAGCACAGAGAGAAGTGTCAGCATTTAGATGGGAGGCTGTTTGGAAGTGGAGTTCATCCCAAGAGTTGAAAGAGAGCACCCCCGGAGCAGAGTCCCTTGTTCTGCGGAGGGGTCAAGCTCTCACACACCTGCAGGAAGAATTGGAGCAGGAGTACAGTGGGCGGGCACGCTGTCGGATGGAGGGTAGAGGACAGGACTGTGAGGGAGTATCCATGGAGGGAGGTTAGGAGGTGGAGTGTTAAATTCGGTGAACTCTTTCATAGAGAGGACACAAACCAAAGAACCACGAGTGCTGTGGGGATTGCACTTCAAAGAACTTCACTCCTGTTAATTGGCTAAGCCCACCGCCCTATGTGGTACATGTTAGTTTTCTCGCCTCTGTTTCATCGGATTAAGAAAAGTCCTTGGTAGCATTTATGGCCCTAGGACTTTGGGAATTGAAAGCTTAGTCTTGAATTTATGAGAGTTATTAGAAGTAGGAAAGGAGAGAGAAAGGAGTTAGGAGAATGTTTATTTTAGTCCCATCCTATGGAAGGTGGTAGCCAACCGGGAAAAAGAGAAAGAAGGCATCAAGAAGCAATCTTTGGAATTTGGGGACCCTAAGAAAAAAAAAGTTTATTACCCACAAGGTACATCCATCAACAAACTGAGAGCCTGCCTCTCTTCCTCTCCCCTACCCTATGTCTGTCTCCACCTACTTCCCTCTCCTCCTTGCTCTTCCCCTTTTCTCTTTACCTCTTTCTCTTTCTTTCTCTTTCTTCCTCCTCTCTTTCTCCTCCCAGGGACCAAAGGGAGAAGGGAGAGCCGAGAAAGTGGCCCTGCCATCCCCTACTGGATTAACCAGCGCTGCCGCCCCATCACCGGTGGCCACATCCCTTCTAATTTGTAGTGGTGGGTTTCTTTCCTTGGAGGAGCCAGGGTACTTTTAAACAGATAGAGGTAATGGGAGGATTGTTATTCATAGGTAAGTCCAACTGGAATGTGTTCAGCTTCCTCAGGTCAAAAGGTCTGCTGTGTCTGATGTGAGATCACATTAAGTTCAAGCAACATAAAGTCAGAAAAAATGCCACTAGCTGCAGGAAGACACTGAGAAATGAGAGGCCTGCCTACCAGAAGGAAACCCATATAGGCTATTTGCAAGTGACTGAACAGAGAGGCAATTTAGAAGGCGCTTTCCTCCGCAGGGAGGCTAGTTTAGTGAAGGAAAGAGGAGGATGCAGAAGGGACAGGAAGAAGTGAAAGAGAATCCTTCTAACGGTGTATTTTTCTATTGAAATTTCCAGGCTTTTTATACATGTTGAATGGTGAGGAGGGATTGAAATGGCCAAGAGAAATGGACAAAAGTGAAAGAGGAAGGACATTGGGAGGATAAGAATTAGGGCTGACTGTGATACCAGGAAAGGAAGTTCATCTTTATTGCCAGGGAAACGCAGTAAAAGGCATGAGTGGGGCAAGTGGAAGAATTTCATTTTGAAAACTTAGTTTTATAAGCAAGAGTGTCCCTTTGCTACCTACTTTTTAAAAATGTTTGATTTAAATTGTATGTTGACAGAAAATAGGTATACATTTACAATGGCTGCAATAGTTAAGTAGCCAGGAAAACAAATCCCTTTAAAGTTAGGAGGTGAACTAAGTTAGCCACCACAAATTTAACTGGCCTCTTTCCATTTTTATTTAGTACTCTGAATATATTACATATATTAAAATATTTTTAAAAATCTTTAGTTTTCAAGCACTGTCTACAAAGAGTGGTGATGATATTATAGATGACGATATCATTCACAGAAAGGGGCAGAAAGTGTTCGTCTAAACCCTGAAACTGAAGTACAGCAAGGCTGTTTTGTCACCTAGCAGTTGTTAGAGAGGCCTGTGATTCCATGTACCCTACAGGAATTTTGTTAAGAATCAAAGTGTGAGTTAATGAGTCAAGTTAAATGACCTAAGGGTTAAAGGGTTAAAGAGCGGCATCACGGATGGTGGCCGTGACCTGTAAAGTCCTTACCAGTGCAGAGGTGACTTCCCCTGCTTGGCTTCTGGCCTGCAGCGTGAATTTTCTCTTGTTTCCACCAAGCGTATGGAGCAGGTGGGCCAAGGAAATCATGAAAGAATGGGGTAGGGAAGGGTAGCTCATTCTCTTGCCCTTGAGGCTCTCTTATGTTTTCTAGATTAATCCTCAGAGCAGCCAATAGTTGGTAATCTCATGTGAGATTAGCACTTTGACCTAGGTCATGTTGTTTAGCAAGTCAGTGAGGAAGTTAAAATCTGCACACCAAAACCTGTGTTCTTTCCATTATATGATACCTTGGGGATATTTGCTCCTAAGTATGCCGAGGACCACGGAGAGAAAACATTCTAAATGAAAGAATGCATTCTGAAACTTTAAGATGCTGAAAATTAGGCTATGTTGGCAGGACTCCTGGAACACATGGTGACATCAGTTTTGTTTTCTTTAGGTGACTCACGTGGCCCTCCAAACCATCACATGGGCCCAATGTCCGAGAGGCGGCATGAGCAGAGCAGTGGCCCTGAGCATGGTCCAGAGAGGGGCCCTTTCCGGGGTGGCCAGGACTGCAGGGGTCCCCCTGATAGGCGCGGCCCTCACCCCGACTTCCCTGACGACTTCAGCAGACCAGATGACTTCCACCCTGACAAGCGCTTTGGCCACCGATTGCGTGAATTTGAGGGGCGAGGAGGACCTTTACCACAAGAAGAGAAGTGGAGGCGTGGGGGCCCTGGGCCTCCGTTTCCTCCTGATCACAGGGAATTCAGCGAGGGGGATGGCCGGGGAGCAGCCCGGGGCCCTCCAGGGGCATGGGAAGGCCGCAGACCTGGTGATGAACGATTCTCCCGGGATCCTGAGGACCCACGTTTCCGAGGGCGCAGAGAAGAAAGGTGGGACAGAGGCTCTCTGCATCCATTTCTTTTTCTCTGGAGCTTTTTACCTGTTCTCTCCACTTTTGCTTAGTTGAGAGAGTATTATATTGATTACTGGCCCTACCCTCTCTAGATTTTGCATTTAGACTTAAAGAAAAAGTTATGCTTTTTAACCTTTATGTGGTTCTTTTTTGTCTTTATTAGTTAGAAATCTTTTTGCTTATTTTTTGGTCCTTTTAAAGAGGTGGGAGGATCAGTATTCTATAAACTTTCTTGAATCTGATTAGAAATCTCCAGGTTCCCTTGATTAGGGTGATGAAATATGAGATAGATATCTAGATTGAGAATAAAAGAATTGTTAAATAGATAGTTTTTGAGTGCCTGAAGATCTTAACAAATCAAATCAAACTGAAAAGTAATCTTGCTGTTAAATTAGATCGAGGTCTGGCTCGGACACTCAGTTTGCTTGTGTGGAGTCAAAAAGGAATAGAAGAAATATGGAGGAAAACAAGAATTAGAGCAATCTCCAGTGAGACTCAGAATAATCAAGGATGATGGTGATTGAGGATGCACAGTGTGCCAGCTGTTCGCTCCTGTAGTTGTACAGTGAAGTTCGAGATAGGTGTTATTGTCAGCATTTTACAGATAAGGGATCACACTGAGAATCGGAGCCATTTCTTGACTTTCTAAGGCCTCACAGGTGGCGGTGTGCTGTTGCACGCTCCTGCCTTCACTCTCAGTCGTCACTCCCTCCCATGTCTTTTCCCATCACATTTCTCACTACTGTTGCTAATAGGTGATTGAGTTACGGATTGGCAATCTCCATCCTAACAGGAGGTGTTAGAAAAGAATGGCTGATAAAATGGCCAGGAAGGCTGAAATAGAGGGGTTAAGGATAGCAGCTATTGGGAGTTTTTAAAAAAAGATTTAAGGGCTCCCAGCTTTCTTAAGGGCCTCTCTTAATGATCTCCAAGTATTCACTCTTTGAAACAGCTTTTTATGCCTGCAAGAGCCTCATTTCCAGTGGCTTTGGCATCAATAACTTTCATTGATTTCTTGAATCTCTTCATCTGTGCAAAGTTTCAGATTTTACTATGCCTCGATTTGTATTGTTTTATACCCTTAAAAATGTCAAGGTCACAAAAGATAAAATGCAGGAGGAGGAGTGTTGTAGATTAAAGGAGACCAAAGAGATGTGACCACTAAATAACAATGTACGATCATGATTGAAATCTGTATTTAAAAACAACTGTAGAGGACATTTTGAGGACAGTTGGAGAAATAGAATTGGACTACATATTAAATAATATTACATGTTATTTAGAGTGATATTAGCATTATTATGTAGGAGATAGTCCTCGTTCTTAGAAGAAACATACTGAAGTATTGAGGGATGGAAGGTCATGTTGTTGGCAGTTGATTTTGAAATGGTTTAGGAAATCAATTTGTAAATAGATGGTTAGAGAGAAAATAAAGCACGTATGGCAAAATCTTCAGAACTGATTAATCTAGGTAAAGGATGCTGGGGCGTTTGTCATTCTATTCTTTCAACTTTAGTGTAAGTTTAAAATTTTCAAAATAAAATGTTGGAGTAAAAGATAACTGAATGGAGACTCAAGACAAAGCAGAAGGCCTGGTCTGAGAGGAGGCCACGGGCAGGCGGCCCATGCAGACTGGCCGGCCTGGCTCTCTTCTACCCTTTCTCCAGTGTCCACGGCCTCTCTTGATGTGCACATGCACCTTTTCCGCTAGCGGGCCCTTTTCCTGCTTCCCTGCAGGCTTCTGCTGCCGCGCTGGTGCTCCCTCATAATGGCTCTGCTTCAGCAACCCTCGGGCTGACTTAGTTTCCCAGTTCCAGAATTCCTGAGAGCCAGTGAAATTGTCCACCAGCCAGGGCACCAGGCTGCTAGCTAGCCAGCAAGTGGTCTGCAGCAGTCAGCTGTGGAGCTGGGGCCATTGGTGAAGTTCATGGCCACCCAAGGCCTGCCCCTGAGTAGAGGCTGTGGGCCTGGGCAGATGGCAGAGCAGATGCCCAAAACAAATCTAGTACAGTTGGCACGTGTGAATCTGTACCCTACTTTTTTCTGATTATATAAGTAATAAATGTCCATTATAAAAATGTAAATGATAATGAAAAGTATTTGGGAGGCAATGGGAAAGGGCCTGGGCAGGGAGTCAAGACTGGCTGAGTTCAAATCCCAACACTTACTCGGTGTCCTTAAATAAATGACTTAACCTCTCTGTGCCTCAGTGTACACATGGGTAGAATAGAGTTAGTAATAGTACCAGCTTCAAATGGTGGTTGTGAGGATGAATGAAATGAAATAATACATGTAAAGCACTTGGCATGCTAGAAGCACTTAAAAAATGCTCACTGTTATTATTCCAGAAAGCCTGAAAGGAAAACAAAATAATCCTGCATTCTGGTATGTTTCCTTCCTGCCCGTTTTTGCCTAAAATATTGGGATTTCAAAATGTGTACTTTAAAAAGTACATAATTATATTTTTTCTCCCATTTAATGTTGTTTTACATTTTCTCATATCATTATGCTTCTTTGAAAGGTGAACTTAGAGCTTCAAGGTTATTTCATTAGGTGAATGTTCTGCTGGTTTTTTCCTGACAGCTTCAGAAGAGGAGCACCCCCGAGACATGAGGGCCGTGCTCCCCCCAGAGGAAGGGATGGTTTTCCTGGTCCTGAAGACTTTGGTCCAGAGGAGAATTTTGATGCTTCTGATGAAGCAGCTCGAGGAAGAGATCTCAGAGGTCGAGGTCGGGGTACGCCACGAGGTGAGCATGCGTGAGGACACCAGGTCTGGGCAGGACAGGGATGGAGAGTTAGGGCGTTGTGAATGTGCCTGAAGCAGTCTGAGTGCAGTGCTGTTTGTTCCATCGTGTAGGAGGAAGGAAGGGTTTACTTCCCACTCCTGATGAGTTCCCTCGCTTTGAAGGAGGACGGAAACCAGACTCCTGGGACGGAAATAGAGAGCCAGGTAAGGAAGGAGAACTGCTGTGGCTTACGGTCACTGGAGACCAGCACTTCACGGATTGTGGTGTGAGGACCCCTGCAGGCCTGAGACACTCCCAGGGGTCCAGCAGGTCCTCTCTTTTCCAACTCACATCCATGGAGGCTGCATTGTCTTCATAGTCTTCAACCAACAGCATCTTATCACAGTCGATTGCACGCACTAACGAGTGGGAGAATCCAGCTTTCTTCTGTTGAGCCAGACGTTAAAGGGATTGTCTAAATATAGAACAATACCACTTTTTTCACAAAACTATTTTTTTTAGGAAGAATGCTGCTTTTATTTATTTATTTATTTTTAAAATTCTTTTTAAAGATTTTATTTTTTTCCGTTTTCTCCCCAAAGTCCCCTGGTACATAGTTGTATATTCTTCGTTGTGGGTCCTTCCAGTTGTGGCATGTGGGACGCTGCCTCAGCGTGGTTTGATGAGCAGTGCCATGTCCGTGCCCAGGATTCGAACTGACGAAACACTGGGCCGCCTGCAGCGGAGCACACAAACTTAACCACTCGGCCACGGGGCCAGCCCTGCTGCTTTTATTTTTTTAATTTTCTTTTTCCTCCCCAAAGCCCCCGTGTGTGGTTGTATATCTAGTTGTAAATCCTTCTAGTTCTATATGAGCCTCCACCACAGCATGGCAACTGACAGACAGGTGCTGTGGCCACAACTGGGAAACAAACCCAGGCCACCAAGTGGTGAGTGCTAAACTTTAACCACTAGACCAGCCAGGCTGGCTCTTCACGAAATTATTTATTTTTGGAAAATATAGTTAAATGAATTAAAGTTTTCTCAGTCTTAATTGCTAATATGGCAAATATTATTAGATATAACTCTCATAAATGAAATCTCTTTGGGGTCCTCAGTAATTTCTAAGAGTATAAAGAAATCTTGAGACTAAAAAGTCTGAGAACCTTTTCTGGACCTTATTGCCTCCTGTTATTTTAGGAGGTCTGTTGATTTCTAATTTTGATCTTGTTTGTCTGCTCATGATATGGCTTATGCCTGGCCTGTGCTGGGTGTTCAGCAAATGTTTCTTGCATGAATGAATGTTGATTCTTCACATCTCAATGTACTTAACAGTATGATTTCTGTCTGCCTTTGGTCACACTGTACTTTAATCCAATGAGATTATCACATTCTTGGCCTTGTGGATCTGTGTTTTCTGTTTCAGGGCCGGGCCACGAACATTTCCGTGACGCTCCCCGCCCTGATCATCCCCCTCACGATGGTCATTCCCCAGCTAGCAGAGAACGTTCCTCTTCTCTCCAAGGCATGGACATGGCATCCCTGCCACCCCGAAAGCGCCCCTGGCATGATGGGCCAGGGACCTCTGAGCACAGAGAAATGGAAGCCCCAGGGGGGCCTTCTGAGGATCGAGGGGGCAAAGGTAAGTGGAAGCCAGTGATTACAGTTCCAGGAGCTGTGGATGCCACATCCCTGCCAAGGCTACAGGGGCCAAGGGAGGCCTCATCTCCAGGCCAGCCCCATCCTGGTATATGCCTGTTCCATCTGTCCACTACTAGGGTACCTAGGCTCCTTTCTCCATCCTACCCTCCAGGACTCAGGCTATGCAGAGGCACATGTTCTCAAGTGTGGTACAAATGTGGTTTGTGTGGGCCCACCCCACACACAGCCAGTCGGAGCTCTCACTCACGTGACTGCAGGTTCAGCTTCTGCACAAGTCTCCTCCACTTTCTTCCGAGAGTCCTTGGTTCCTTCAGGTGTCCGCTCCAGCTCTTCGCAAGTGTCCCAGCAACCTCTCTGCTGATCTTCCTTTCTTGCTGTAATTAGCATATGTGCTCTCCACTAATGGCTGCTCTGAGCCCTCAAGGGGTTCCTCAGTGGCAGGAAGAATTGTCCAGTGCCAGGGTCCATGACTTTTTTTACCCTGGGCCCAGGAGGAACACTACTTGTGTCCAGAGTCACAAAGACTTTGGGAAACATGGTCTGGATGGGGTTGTTTTCAGGGGGACAGTAGATACTTGTACAACTTGAAACTTTGGATCCTGTTTTCAAGGCAGCACTAACTTTTAGCCGAGAGCAGTAGCCACCGGTTGCTAACTACAGCCCTGCTCTCGGGTTAGGCTGGGCTGTTGCATATGTGGTCTGGTTTGGAGGCTGCTGGAGAGACTGGGTGTCCCAACTTGTGCTTCGCTCACCGGTTAACATGCCTCATGCTTACAGTCCCTCCATTACAAAGCTCTGTCTTTTGCTCTTGATAGTTGTTTTGTTCTTTTTAGAGCAAAACCGTCAGAAACTACCTCATGTATCACCAGTAGGTCTCCCCACCCAAGTACCCATTTTGTTGCTGGTCAGTATAGTGTAATCTTGGACTTTCATAAGCACTGAGGACTTCATAGGTCTCCGGCTGAGGCAACATGGCTAGTGTGGAAATGATATCCTAGCTGAGTTTCTCTGCCCAGGCACCTTCAGGTGGGTCTAGGCTGCACTTTGTAAGAAAAGAAGCCAGAGTTATTCCTTTGGCTAGCTTTCCTAACCTCTTCATCTGAACTAGGGTGAAGTTAAGCTCCAGTTAAGATTAACTGGGGAGATAATTCCATCGCAAAATTTGAGACTAAATAAAATTGGCAGTCATTTTCTGATAGGAGATGTGGCCAAAGCCTATCACCTCATTAGAAAAAAATTTACAAGTCAGAATTTTAACGATACCTAAAGGTCTGTGTGTGCAAGTCTGGAACAAATAAAACTATCCCTGGGAGAAATAATTCTAAAAGCTAGTGTTTTTCTTTTTATGCTTTTGCTTTTCAAGAAATATCTTATTTAACTATTTAAAAGGAAATCAAAAGTGCCCCACAGTTGTGAGATAATCATAGTAAACACTTACCTGGTTAGAACACTTGTGATTGACAGCATCAACTTTGTATTTTTTAGTGGCTTCCAAAGTTAAGTCGGCGCTTTTCAAACCTTCTCTCAGGAGGGTAAAGATACACTTCTCCTAGACTGGAGACATGACCCAGTGTGGTCTGTGACTCCCAGACGGTGCTTCACACTTATCTCTTGGCTTCCCATTGTCTCTGTCACACAGCCTTGGGGAACATGGAACATGGGGAACAGCTGATGCTGAGGGGCATGGCCACAAGCCAGGACAGGAATGAGATAGTGGTCAAGAGGGTGGAGGCATAACTTTTAGTGCTCTGAATGCTGTTGCTAAATGTCCTTAGAACTCTCTGTGTTTTAAAGAAAGACCCAGAAGTGTTCCTCTGTCATCAGGTTTGTAGCAGGAGTTAACAGTCTCGGATATAAAATAGTCACATGTGAAATCAATGTTTCATTTCAGGCCGAGGGGGCCCAGGACCTTCCCAGAGAGTGCCAAAATCTGGGCGTTCCAGCTCCTTGGATGGAGATCACCATGACGGATACCACAGAGATGAACCTTTTGGGGGCCCTCCAGGCAGTGGTACACCTTCTAGAGGGGGCCGCAGTGGCAGTAACTGGGGTAGAGGGAGTAACATGAACTCTGGGCCGCCACGGCGAGGAGCTTCAAGGGGTGGTGGAAGGGGTCGGTAGAAGTTGGGGCTGAGTACCCCTAGGCTTCTCTGGACAGTATTTAAGAACTTCTTGTGGACTTACCAAGAGAAACAAAAGGAAGCCTTGCACCATGTAGCCATGAACTCTTTTCTGGGGCAGCTGAATCCCAGGAGCCCCTAAGGAGGTCTTCAAGACGAAGAGACTGCTGCTGGCTACCCAGAGTAGCTGGCCTCGTTTTGTTCTGTCCACCCTCACTGCCCTAACTTCCCACATTGTTTTGTGAAGATAAAAGCTGGAATTTTCTTTTTTTAAGTGTCAAAAGACACGGAGCACCTCCACAAATTTCAGTTCATGTCCAATTGGAAATTTGTTTCTATATGTACAGTTTGTCAGAGAAAAGACATTAAGTTGTTTTTGTATGAATACAGAATGTGATTTACGCAAGAATTAACAGAAAACTAGTTGTGAAGTGCTTGCCTTAAGGAAACCCTTAGTTTCCATTGCACCCAGTCTGCTGCGGGGTCTACAATTAGTGCTTTTATCTGTGAGCATACTTCATGGGAACCTCTAAGTCATCTAAATTAACCTCATCTGTGAACACTGGGTTTTTAAACAAATTTTCATCTAGCCATTCTGTCACAGTTATTTTTACAATAGAGTGAGAAATACTTTAAAACTCTAACATAGGTGATTCAAAGACTTAGTTAGACATGCTCTGGCAGATGGAAAATTAAACTCAGGAACAACTTAAATCTTCTGGCTGTCCAAGTAGGGGTTCTTTGGGTGCATCTCCTAGTAGTCACACCTTGGACTTGAATTGCCTTGTTTCTGATGAAAGGAACTTGACGTAAGAAATTAACTACCACATACCCTTTTGATTACTGCAAATCATTGCACAAATTATTCAAGTTGAAAAAGAATGGACTGAAATATCTTCTAAAACAGTTTTGCAAAGCTTAAGTAATTTTTTCCTCTTCCATACTAGCTATGTGGAAATACCTGTGTTTAAGGCAGAGGATAGTTGTAACTTATAGTAAGCCAGGAAGTTCTTATCCACAACAAACTCCTTTAGTTTTAAATAAAGGTAGTATTTGTCCCAGTTTGGATCGGAAGACAAAAGTTCAGTTTGAGATACCCCTTGGTACTTTGTATACTGACCCTTACTTTTTGTTTTTATAAAGAAAGCTTTTATTATTCCAAGGACAGTCCTATGCTGACCGTAACATCTCATTACATCGCCAGCTTGTTTGGCCCTGGAGACAAGTTTACTTGGCAAATTTAGCGGAAGCCTCAGTAGTTGCTTAGAAAAGGGATACTGACATAGTTGGACAGTATGTAAAAAATTCTTAACTAGTTCTTTATTAATGTCAAAAATGGTAAAGCTGAGTTATTTCTGCAGAGTGAGACAATGTTGACGGCACACACTGCTTCTTAGGGTATTAGAACCTAGAGACTACAAGTGAATAATTTTCACTTTACTTTGAAATTAAAAGCATCTTATTTATCAGCACCTCACTGTAAACACACAATTAGATGGCTCAAGATTGCTTTAGGTTTTTGGATGTTATTTACCATCCACTCGTATAGCTTAAAAAGTTGTAATCAAACTCTGAGAAGCTAAAGAGATCCAGAGACCAAACCCATATTGAGATTAGGCTCCTTTTTCTGAGATTTACGTAGTAAGAACTTTATCATCTTAATACGTTAGGCTTTAACTTTTAAAAAAACAGTACACCTCAGTAAGCAGATAATCAGATTACATTTGGAGAAGGAATTCATTTAGAGAAAACTGAAATCTCTACATTATACATTACTTAAGATATATATATATATTTTTTAAAACATCAGTGTCAAAATATACAAGATATTGCACTTCAAATTTTATAAAAGCTAGATTTTCAGTGTTTGAATTCTTGACAAAATGTTGGGGAAAATTCTTTTTAAGTATAATAGCATCAACATAAAAATACGCTAAACATTGTAAAATCTTCAGCTGTGCAAATTGTAGAGAAATTTAGAACTAGAACAGAGATTTAACTGGGGGATAGAGCAGTCAATAACTCAAGTTTTCCAGTTGAGAAGATCAACGAGTCCCGGCAAACAGCGCGTGCCCGTACACCCGCTGGGCGCTGCTCTTGAGGTAGGTAACCCTGTGCACTGACAGCACAGGCAGTCGTCTGCGAGAACACTGGGCTGAGGGTGAAGCAGCCTGGGGGCCACAGTGTGGATGTCGGTCACTGGATGTCACTTCTTGGGGCACGGCTTCGGACACTGATCGGGACCCAGGCATGAGGAACGTAAGTTTTGAGTTTGGACAAAGAGGTAATGCTCCAGTGCTGCCTGACACATCCGTTTAAGGCAACACTGGAATCCGGCCCCAGAAAATGACGATTATTTTCAAGTTGTGCAATCCAGTGCACAGAAAAGTAGTTCTCAACCTCAGGGGAACACAGTATCATCTAATAAAGTCCTGATGCCTGGCTCCCACCCCAGGGATTCTGATGGAACAGACTGAGGTTTGGCTCTTCGAGTAATTCTGATGTGAACTGAGAACCACCGGCATAGAATGTTAAAGTTCTAAACACATTTTACTTATTAATATATAGCTACTGACAAAATATATAGTTTTCTGCACTCATCGGAATATTGAGCCCATACTTTCTGGCAATAAATTAAGGTATCCAATAAGGTCTTAGACAAAAGTGCTGAACCCTAAAACGGAGATTTGCAATTACATATGAAAAGCATCTTACGTTGCATTAGGATCAGTACAAAGTATGGACTATGGTTTAAAAAGCAGATCATAAAATTAGGAATGGTAACTGGGCCCTGCAGAGATCCATGGTTCCCCCCAAATATGGGAACTTGGACGTAGAGCTGTCCTCCATCTCCCAGGCGCCCCCAGCCCGGCTCCCCGCGCGGGACCTCTCGAAGGGTCTGCACGCACCTTGCTGCACACCGTACTTCCCAGGGCGCAGCTGCTCCCTTTTGGTCCGTCGCTTTCATCGTCTAATACAAAGCCAATTGTGTTTTAATTTTATAAGGCACCAATTTACAATTTCTCTAAAACAAGAAAAAACGAGGCGAACCATCTTAACTAAAGTACTTAAAAAAAAATCCGGCAGCTTAGTTTAGTCTTTAGTCTGATACCCTTGGCGATCCACTCACATTGAAGAATGAGGGAAAATACTTTCCAAGAGACGAAGCAAACAGCAGCTTACTGTAGCTAAACTGCTACACTCAGCCACAGCAGTTCCCGGTGAGGAGTCGGGGAGAGGCACAGGGCGACCAGTTAAAGCTGCAGAGCCGCTGTTTCCGCTGAGCTCCGTCCGAGCGCGCGGCGAACGCAGCAGCAGCTCGTCGTCCGCGTCTCGGCACGTCCAGCCAACCCCCGGCGCCGCCTCAGGCCGCGCCACTGCAGGGCTCCCCGACAGCCGCTCCAGACCGACGGCCTGCGCACCCGCGCGCGCACAGCTCGCTCCGGCTCCGCTTCCTCGCCCGGGGGTCGGCACCGCATCCTCGCCCGATGGCCGGCTCCGCGTTCTCTCCCCGGGCCGGTTCCGCGTCCTCGCCCGACGGCCGGCTCCGCGTCCTTGCCTGGAGGCCGTCCCCGGGCCTCTCACACGGGCAGCGCCTTGGCGAGGCGGGCGCCCGAGCCCAGCCGCCCGAGGGCGAGACGCAGCGCGGAGCCCGTGCCCCAGGGCAGCAGGCCGAGGAGCAGCGCCAGCAGGGCGGCCACCTGCGCGCAGGCGCCCAGCGCCGTGAGCACCGTGCTGCGCAGGCCCAGCGCCGCGTACAGCGTGCCGCCCAGCGCGGCCGCGTAGAGCAGCGCGGGCCGCGACGGCGCCTCCTCGCCGCGCAGCAGGCGTCCGCACGCCGCGCCGCCCCGCAGGAGCGCGCCGCCCGCCAGCGCAAGCGCCGAGCCCAGCGACCAGAGCAGCGCGAACTTGCGCGCCCGCAGCAGGAGCGCGGGCGCGTACAGTGCGGCCAGGCCGAAGCAGAGCGCGGCCAGCAGCAGGCACACGCCGCTCGCCGCCAGCCGCTGCGCGCGCGTCACGCTCGGCAGGCACGCCGGGCCCGCCGCCGCCGATGGCTCCGCGGGGCTCCGCGCCCACGTCCAGCGCAGGCCCGCGCGGCCCAGCCATGCCCCCGCCGGCCCGCTCCCCGCCGCGGGCTCCCGGGCCTGCTCCGCGGCGAGCAGCGGCTCCGCGGCTGCCGGCCCGCCTGCTTTCCCCTGTGCCAGGTACTCCTGCAGCTGGCGGTGCAGCTCCGCCATCTTGGACGGGGCGGCCGCGGGGGGGGGGGGGGCGCGCTGCCCCCGCTTCCGGTTCCGCTGGGCCCAGGGGGGCGGAAGGGGCGGGGCCGCCCGCTGCGCCGGCCTCCTCGCGCGGAGCTGAGTCTCGCGGGGACTGGGCGCTGGTCCGGCCCGGGTTGGTCCCGGCGCGGCGGCCGGCTGTGAAATGGTGCCGGAGGGAGCCTCGTGGCGATGGCGCTCCTGCGTCTGACCTCACGGCTGCTGCCACCCTGGCCGTGGCCATGCGCTCTGGTTCTGTAGGATGTTGGGGAACCTGGGTAAAGGGTACACGGGGTCTCCCTGTTGTTTCTCCAACCTGTGGGCTGATGTCACTATCGTTATCTCAGTAAACTTACGTTAGAAAGGTTCAGACCTGCAGGACCTAGGGGCTGCTTTGGGAAGGCGGGGACTAGATAAGGAGGAGGTGAGCCCCTCCCTCCGCCTCCCCTCGCCTCTGTTCCCGGTTTCGGCAGAGGCCTGGCACGGTGGTGGCACCCCGGCGTGTGTCTTGGTTCCGCTCTGCGTGCTCCTGGCGCCTCGGACGCGGCGTCCGATGGCGCTGGTCCGCTCGCCCACGTCCCACGTCCCAGTCAACTCCCATCTGTTTGGAGGCCGCGTCCCGGGGCCCTGCTCTTTCTCAGAGCCGCGTTGAGGTCCTTCGGCCCGTGTCTACACCCGCCAGGCCCCCGCTCCCTCTGGTTTCTGCCTGGCTGTTCCCACTCTCCGGCATTCAGAGCAAGCTTGCGCTTCCTGCCGCTTGCTCTCCAGCGTGGGTGCGTTTTTTCTAAGTTCTCACCTTCCGCAGTTGTGAACGTTCACCTGTTTAAGGCTGTGCCAGCCGCTCGAGAACAGGGTCCCTTTCATCTCTCTTCTCCTAGGACCTGAAAGGCTGCTGCAAAGGCCTAACAAATGGGTGTTGCCCAGATGGACACAGCTGCCAATTTCGGTGCAGTAGAGGTGTCTGAACGGCTTTGTAGCTGCTTCCTGAAGCCGTTGATTGGAAACGTATTTTGCTAGACTTGTAAGTACCTGCTGTGAACGTGAATATGATAGGGAAGTCCTCGTGTAACGTAACATACAGTACAGACAGGTTACGCGGCAGTCCGCTCTGGTGCAGGGCTTCGCTCATTTGCCCCAGGAAAAATTCCTTCCCAACTCTGCACG